TAACTCTCAAATATCTGAAAACATTCACTTCTTCCATACTCCCTCTCTCCAATGTGATATCCAGTTTTTCTTTATCTAAATCATTTGATACCTTCATCACAGGAATGATTAAGAGGATGTAAATAGCTTGATAAAAATATCTAGCCTAGACAGGACTCGCAGTAATGGCTTTAAGTTGGAAAAATTCAGATTCAGGAAGGATGTAGGAAAGCACTGGTTTGGTAATAGAGTTGTGGATGAGTGGAACAAACTCCCAAGTACCATCATAGAAGCTAAGATGTTGCGTAGTTTTAAAAATAGGTTAGATAAATACACCTACCATCCGACTTACGACCTGCTCGACATACAACGACTCGGCTTACGACCGTGTATTTTATGCCAAATTTCTGGGAAATAAACAAGTGTTTGTGTTGTACACAGTGTTTATCCTAAACCTTACAGTATAAAATACAGTACTAACAGCATAAAAAGTAAAGTAAAACGTGAAATACCAAAATAAAACAATAAAATAAAGTCATTACAAAAATGTTATGTTGATATTCAGTAGTAAAGTTCGACTTGCGTCCATTTCGACTTACGACCGGTTTCTCAGAAACGAACTCGGTCGTAAGTCAGATGATAGGTGTACATGAGTGGGTGTGGGTGGGTGTGGGTGGGTGTGAGTTGGACCTAGCTAGCTTATGCTACTCGGTCAGATGCCGTGCTTTTTCCTTAAGTGAATGTGACCTGACGTGACTAGGTTTAGGCATTGGCTTAAGCCAGTGGGAGAATTGGACCTGCCTCGCATGGGCCTCTAGGCCTGCTGCAGCGTTCCTTCTTCATGTTCTTAAGACAAGTGGAAAAGCATCTTATATTTATGTTAATTCATTCTACTGTGAGATGTATTTATCATGTTTATATGTTATGTAGCATGTTTATTATATACTGTAGTTTTGAAAATGTATCATACATGGATTAATGAAAATGTCTATACAGTGGACCCCCGCATAACGATGGCATCACACAGCGATTATTTCGCATACCGCTTACTTTAATCGCAAAAATTTTGCCTCACATACCGCTTAAAAACCCGCTTACCGATTTTCGTCCGAGACGCGGCCTGAGCCACACTCACATGTTCCGCCGGTGGCATTGTTTACCAGCCAGCCTCCGCGGTAACATCCAAGCATACAATCGGAATATTTCGTATTATTACAGTGTTTTCGGTGCTTTTTCTGGAAAATAAGTGACCATGGGCCCCAAGAAAGCTTCTAGTGCCAACCCTACAGCAATAAGGGTGAGAATTACAATAGAGATGAAGAAAAAGATCATTGATAAGTATGAAAGTGGAGTGCATGTCTCCGAGCTGGCCAGGTTGTTATAATAAACCCCAATCAACCATCGCTACTATTGGTGGTACAGCTGCTGCTGCTGCTGCTGCTGCACTGTCAGCTGCTGCTGCTGCTGTAGCACCGTTGTTGGTGTGGCTTATTGAGAATACCAAAAAAACAATTAACCCCAGAGGATTTGCCACCCAAGATAACCCAAAAAAGTCAGTGTCATCGAAGACTGTCTAACTTATTTCCATTGGGGTCCTTAATCTTGTCTCCCAGGATGCAACCCACACAAGTCGACTAACACCCAGGTGAACAGGGAAAAATGCCTGGAACTAGTGCTCATATTGGTGAATTTAAAGCCAGCAAAGGTTGGTTTGAGAGATTTAAGAATCGTAGTGGCATACACAGTGTGATAAGGCCTGTTCTGGAAGAAAAATGCCAAACAGGACCTACAGTACTCAGGAGGAAAAGGCACTCCCAGGACACAGTGTCTCATCAGTCATTGCTGCATCTTCAATAAAGGTAAGTGTCATTTATTCTTCATTTAGTAGACTAGTACATGCACAATATATACTGTGCATGTACTACTCTACTATTGTGCATGTATCCTTCTCTTTGTGTGTGGGAAAATGTATATATCATGTGGTAAAATTTTTTTTTTCATACTTTTGGGTGTCTTGCACGGATTAATTTGATTTCCATTATTTCTTATGGGGAAAATTCATTCACATAGCGATTATTTCGCATAACAATTACCCCTCTTGCACGGATTAAAATCGTTAACCGGGGGTCCACTGTATATGATATTTATTTATTTATTTCCAATTTGTGCACACATACAGAGGTACAAAAAAAATACAGATAAGAGCAGTATGCCAAAGCCACTTATACTATGCATAGCATTACGGGCTGGCTTAAAATTAACTTAAGATTAACTAAGCAATGATTATTATTATTATTATAATCAAAAAGAAGCGCTAAGCCACAAGGACTATACAGCGCTGCTACTAAGCAATGATGAAATCAGTGATAAAACATTAATGTAAACAGATAACTATAAAGCACAAGTGAGTATTACAAAGACAGGTCATATGGTTGCATTCAGTTAGGTAGTGATTCTGTTAGGTAGTGTATTTAAAAAAAATAAAGTTAGATTGGGTCTTAGGTTTAACATTTATGTGATATAATTGTGAGAAACATTTAAGATATACAATTTATAATGTTCAGTTATTCAGTATTTATTTGGTTTTGGGTGAGTAAGTAATCTTTGAGAAGAGACTTGAATTTATAAACAGGTTGTGTTTTTTTTATATTTACAGGTAATGAATTCCAGATTTTAGGGCCTTTTATGTGCATTGAGTTTTTGCATAGTGTGAGATGGACACGGGAACATAAAAGAGTGATCTGTGCCTTGTGTTATGGTCATGTGTTCTGTTGAGGTTGGCAAGGAGATGTTTGAGGGGAGGGTTAATATCAGAGTTAAGTGTTCTATGTATGTAATAGGTGCAGTAATAAGTATGGATGTTTTGTATGGTGAGTAGGTTTAGTGTATTGAATATTGGTGGAGTGTGCTGCCTGTAGTGAGAATTTGTTATCATTCTAACTGCAGCCTTTTGTTGGGTAATTAGTGGTCTGAGATGGTTAATTGTTGTTGAGCCCCATGCACAAATTCCATAGGTGAGATAGGGATAAATAAGAGAGTGATATAGGGCCAGGAGGGCTGACTGTGGAACATAGTACCGTATCTTCGATAGTATGCCTACAGTCTTGGAAATTTTCTTAGAAATTTGATGTATATGTGTATGAAATTTGAGTCTATTATCAAGGTGGATTCCTAAGAATTTTCCCTCTGTTAGTTTTGTGATAGGTGATCCATTTATCATTATGTTAAGAGGGACATCTGTAGCTCTGTTACCAAACTGAAATGAAGTAGGTTTTGTCAATGTTTAGTGTAAGTTTGTTAGTCCTCATCCAGGTAGATATTTTCTGTAATTCGGTATTTACAGTATTGGCTAGCGTGACTGGGCTCGGGTGAGAGAAGACGTATGTAGTGTCATCTGCAAATAGTGTGGTTTGAGTAATTGCGAAGCATTTGGAAGGTCATTTATGTATAGGAGAAAGAGAAGAGGGCCAAGGACACTTCCCTGTGGGACACCAACTGTAATTGGTTGTGCAGAAGAGTTTGCCCCATTTGCGTACACATATTGGCTTCTGTTGCTGAGGTAAGACTTGAGGTAGTTGAGGGAGTGCCCTCTTATACCATAGTGTACAATTTTACGTGGAGCAAGTCATGGTCAACTGTATCAAAAGCTTTACGTAAGTCAATGAAGATCCCCAGTGGGACTTCTTTTTTCTCTATTGCAGTGTATATATGTTCTAGCATGTGTATAATAGCATCATTAGTATTTTTATTAGGCCTGAAACCAAATTGGCAGGGGTTGAGTATGTTTTTGGAGATAAGGTAGGAGTAGATTCGTTTATGAATTAATTTTTCGAAGATTTTTGAGAGAGGGTGTAAGTTGGATATTGGCCTATAGTATCAACTCTGTTTGGTCTCCTCCTTTGTGGATCGGGGTGACCTTGCTATTTTGAGTACTGTAGGGAAGGTGGAGGATTCAATGGATTTGTTAAAGAGTGTTGCAATGATTGGTGATAGCACTTGTGACACTTTTTTGTATATAAGGGTGGTAAGGTATTTAAATCTCCTGCTTGTTTTTTAGTGCGTTGATAATAAGGGAGACTTCGTATGGGTTGTCGGGAGCTAGGAACAGTGTGTTTCGGGTAGTTGCCAGTGAGGTAGTCATTTGGTGGGGTATCTGAGCTTGGATTTTATTGGCAAGGTTTTGTCCTATAGTGGAGAAGAAATCATTGAGTCTGTTTGCTGTTTCTGTTGGTGGGAGTTGGGTTCATCTGTTTTTTTGCTAATTTTATTTCGCTATTTCGTGATATCTTTTTTGTTCCCAGAATTTCTGATAGGGTTTTCCAGGGCTTTTTTATATCACCTCATAAGTTGGATAATCTGTTCTCATAATACAATTTTTTGCCCTTCTTATCAGGCTGGTTAGGAATGACGAGTAACGTTTTGTTTGGTCTCTGGTTATGTGACCCATTCTGTACTGTTTTTCATATTGGTGTTTTGTATTTATGGATTTGAGAATGCTGGGTGTTAGCCAGGGACTGTTCAGTCTCTTTGCTGTCATCTGTTTAGTTTTTTTAGGGCAGTGCTTGTTATAGAGGTATTGGTTTTTTTTTAGAAAATTATTAATACATTCGTCAATATCTGTATAGGTTTCTAGCTCAGTGTGCCAATCAATGTTTGCTATTGCTGTTGTGAAGTTATTAATGGCTGCCTCATTGTGAAGTCTGAAGGTGACTTTAGTAGTGTCTTGGGGTAGTTTACCAAGAGTTGTTATGAGGAAAGTAGGGTATTATTGTGTATTATCATTATTAATATGGCATTTTCAAGACTATTTAAGATACTCTTAGTGATTTTAATGTGAACCTGCATGCCAGCACTATGTGTAAGTTTTTTTTGGCTCACCCTGCCCCTGTTCGTATTAGCGGAATGTTGTAAAGTGGGGCCCTACTTTATAATGAATTAGCTAGTGACAATACCAGTATAATATTATGCATGTTAAGAATCAGATCATTATACATAAGCTAAAAATTCAGTGTGCACTATACCTGACAACAACACAATTAACCTGATGAGCAATTCTATCCACTTCTTCAATGGACACTTGATCAATCTTGTTGTACACATAAAGGCAAGGCATGTACACTCTGTTACCGGAAATAACATCTATCAATTCATCAGCGGCACAGTCTTCTCTGAAGATCACCTGAAAAATTCCATAAGCTAAATCACACAAAGAAACCAGAAAAGCAGATTCAATTTTTCAAAGACAACTGTGAATTCATTCTCATCCTCTCTCTCATTCTTTCTCATTCTCTCTCTCTCATTCTCTCTCTCATTCTCTCTCTTTTTTTTTTTTTTTACACAGGGTTTGACAAGGTTAAGGATCCCTAACTTTATTGACAAGCCACTTACAGGTTAAGGTTTCCTAACTTTATTGGCAAGCTAAGAGCTGTTACCTACATCAGCTCATTTGAAAGCCTTTTTATTGTTATGAGACATACAAGTAGGGAACACGATGAAGTTGGAGCCATCTGTGGGCCAGCATTTCCATTTGATCAACTGACTTTATCTCGTTGACATCATTATGCTGTAAGAATGTGTTCCATACTCGAGCCATCCTGGGTATATATGATCTTAGATGGAGTGATGTTCTGGAGAAGGGTACAGCCAGACTGAAGTTGCTGCTTTCTGCCCATCTTGTGGCATAAAAGCTTGTTTCACGCTGTCTTCGAAGTGGATCCAAGTGTGGTACTTTGACAATATTGGCCTTGTACATAACAGTAAGGCCACCCACATCCCTCTTGTGTTGAAGGCTCTGCTGAAATGACAGATCTATCCAGGATGGGTCCAGGCGAGAGATGAGACTTCTTGCTCTGGTCTCTACTCTGTCAAGCAGTCAGAGATGAGAGGGGGGTCAGGCAAACCAAGAAAGTGGAGCATACTCAAGGTGTGAGCGTACTTGTGCCTCATACAGAATCTTGCAACCCCTACTGTCAAGCAGATGCAAGATATGGCGAAGTGCTGTAAGCTTCCTGGATGCCTTGTTTGCAAGATTTACAACATGGTTCTTCATGGTCAGTTTGGAGTCAAATTTCACCCCAAGGATATCAACTTCTCCAGGTGCCAACACCCTCCCATTCATCCTTACTACTGCACCAGCATTACCATCATGGTGCCTAGAGACCATCATCATTTGCATTTTCTCAGGTGCAAATGTTACTTGCCATCTATTTCCCCAAGCTGACATAGCTCTTAGCTGGTGATTGATGTAGCTTAGAGCAGCTGGCATTTCTTCTCTTGGATAAGTGAATGTCAGTGTACAGTCGTCTGCATATGCATGGGATTCTGGGATGAGATGAAGAAGGTCACTGAAGTAGACATTCCACAACAATGGTCCCAGCACGCTTCCTTGTGGAACACTTGCCCCAATAGGATGTCTTGCTGATTCCGTTCCATTGAGATCTACCATGAAGGTAATCACTGAGGAGACATAGCGTAGAGCCTGCAATTCCCAGTGCTTAAGTTTTGCTAAGAGGTCCTGGTGCCACACCCGGTCGAAAGCACCAGCAATGTCTCTCTCGTTCTCTCTCTCTCTCTCGTTCTCTCTCATTCTCTCTCTCTCATTCTCTCTCTCTCGTTCTCTCATTCTCTCTCTCGTTCTCTCTCTCATTCTCTCTCTCTCGTTCTCTCTCTCATTCTCTATCTCTCGTTCTCTCTCTCTCTCGTTCTATCATTCTCTCTCTCTCTTATTCTCTCTCTCTCACTCTCTCTCTCTCATTCTCTCTCTCTCATTCTCTCTCTCTCTCATTCTCTCTCTTTTTTTTTACACAGGGTTTGACGAGGTTAAGGATCCCTAGCTTTATTGACAAGCTATTTACAGGTTAAGGATTCCTAACTTTATTGGCAAGCTAAGAGCTGTTACCTACATCAGCTCATTTGAAAGCATTTTTGTTGTTATGAGACATACAAGTAGGGAATACGATGAAGTTGGAGCCATCTGTGGGCCAGCATTTTCATTTGATCAACTGACTTTATCTCGTTGATATCATTATGCTGTACGAATGTGTTCCATACTCGAGTCACCTGGGTATATATGATCTCAGATGGAGTGATGTTCTGGAGAAGGGTACAGCCAGAGTGAAGTTGCTGCTTTCTGCCCATCTTGTGGCATAAAAGCTTGTTTCACACTATCTCTCTCTCTCTCTCTTTCTCTCATTCTCTCTCTCTCTCTCTCTCATTCTCTCTTTCTCTCTCTCTCTCATTCTCTCTCTCTCATTCTCTCTCTCTCATTCTCTCTCTCTCATTCTCTCTCTCTCATTCTCTCTCTCTCATTCTCTCTCTCTCTCTCTCTCTCTCTCTCTCTCTCTCTCTCTCTCTCTCTCTCTCTCTCTCTCTCTTTCTCTCTCACACACACACACACACACACCAGAGTGAATGGAAAATAATAAAATACTGTACAGTAAATCCTCTTGTAACACATGGGTTACATTCCTTAAAAATTGATGAATAACAAAATATAACATTATTGTACAGTGAAGAACATATTGGAAAATGGGTTACATTCCAACGATCTTAAGCTCTGCCAAATTAATTTTTTTCTGAGCTAGTAAAAATTACTACAATATAACTTAACTTTACATTCTGGCTGTGCATTCTTTTTGAAATGGAAGAGCACAGAGAAGGTTGAAGTAGGCCTACTTATAAGATCAAATAAGATGAAGTTTATTTCTTTGTAAAGGTTACAATGTGTAATTGCAATTTTGATTTGCTAAGTACAAAGATAGCCACTATTATGCCGGGGCATTTTGGGCAGACTAATCCTAATACATAGTAACTAATGAAAATTAGACAAGACAATAAGTACATAGTAACTATACTTAAAACTAGACAAGAAGTATTGGTTAACGGTTTTACAATCTTATTTAAACTTAATACAAATGTGAGGTAGTAGGTTTGAGTAAGGTTCCATAAAATAATCTTGAAACTGCACACAAAATCTATATTACAAGTAATGGTTCAGGTGGTAATATTTTATAAATTGGGTTGAAGTTGATGGCTATGGTTTTTGTGATGATGATGGTGTGGATGCAGGGTTGACAGTTTTTGATAGTTACACTACAGTGACTGTGCAATGTATCTCTGGTCTGTTTTACCATGCAGTACTTTACACAGCTGATAATAAGGCCTCATTCCTGAGTTCACCTTAATGTCCACAGCATGGTTGACCTGCATCACTTCCTCCCCACTACCCTGCTCTAGAATAACCCTTAACCCCTTCACTGTTGGAAGGCCCTATCACTGTTCACAAACCGAAAATTAAGTGCTCAGTATACAGTCTTAAAAAATTACATTTTCTTCAGAAATAGCACGGAAACTTTTTATCAAGGTAATGACACAAAAAGTATGAAACCCAATGGAAAACCTACAGAATTGTGTAGGCATAAAGTTAGCAGCCTGGTTGCAATTTACACATCAGTGATTTTGCCCAATTAGTCCTATTTAAGGCCAAATTCATTGCTCAATTCGACCAAATTCTTTATTTCTCAAGTATGTCTTCCATTCTATCGACTGAGCACAACTACCTTATAACATGCAAGAAAATCGGTAATCAGGCCAGTGTCAGTACTGTAGTGCTATGCCATGAGTTCAGCTCACTCAGATAAGCTGTAAGCAGTAAATTTGGACCTAGATATGAAAGAATGGTTCTATGCAGTAAGTTTGCACCATATAAAAAATCCTGCAGCATGCGGTACACGAGAAAAAAAAAATTGTGAAGGTATTTTTGGTTTAAAACAGCGACTTTGTAGCATATTTTCATATGGTGTCTATGTTTGTATTCTTGGTTTCTTGGTCTCACTTGATAAAATGGAAAATATATTACAGAAATAGAGATGATTTTGATTGGTTTCAGGAAGCTTGAAATTGAGATGTAAGTAGTGGAAATGTTTCATTTTTGCCAATATTCCAGAGTACACAAATGTCACTCGTCTAATACATGTCCATCTATCCAGTCTAATATGCTTTCAGCAATGTACTGAAGTTATTTATACAATTATTACAATAATGCACTAGTCTGAATGCACTAGTGTGAAAAAAATTCTCAATGGAATATACATGTGTAATATTGGAGAAGCCTAGGGACATAACTAATGAACAGAGGAAATGTTATTTTAGTGCCAGGAATGTCTGCATTATTTATTGTGGACCGTACAGTGGAACCTCAGTTTTCGTTTGCCCTGGTTTTCATCAAATTCAGTTTTCAACGACTTTTTTTTGACAAAATTTTTTCCCAGTTTTTGTTCATAACCTCGGTTTTCATCCACTCTATAAGGATTACAATGCTGAGTTTACCAAACTTCTGTAAACTCAGCATTGTAATCCTTATAGAGAATAAACTTTGAATTTGAATTTGAATGTGTCTGCCTGCCTGTGCCCATACATGCGTTCTGAGTCAGTCTGGCTTTCTTTCTCGTCGCGTGAACATTACCCATTACCCTGCATGTTTATACGTAACATTTTGTAATAATCCATTGTTTTTTTGTGCTTGTTTATTGAGTGCAACTGTTAAATTAGCCACCATGGAGCCAAAGAAAGTTCCGGGTACCAGCGGTGAGAAACACGATAGAACTGCTTCAGAGGATGAGAAGGAAGAGAAGGGAAAGAATGCGTCTTCTTTAATGATTAACCCTTTCAGGGTAGCCAGGCCCTCTCCGAGACTTGTTCTCAGGGTCGACAAAATTTAAAAAAAAAAAAAAAAAAAAAAAAAATTCTTATGAAAAGATAGGCTAAACAAAAATTTTTTTACCATCGATACTTACCGAGATATGGAGGTGTGAAGTTGACAGAAAATGCCTTGTATATGGTAACATTGCCAACTGCCGGTCACCCGGTATTACTTTATTTTTTTAGATACTATTTTCTATTATTTTTATTTTTTTTTCCAAGTAACTTTTATGGCCTGAGATCAATATGATCACTATTTTGTAAGTTATTTCTTTTTCTATACTACACAATAACTGCATACTGCTCTCACTGGTTTGTTTACAGAAAATATTTACACAAATGATATGAAATGTTGTTTATACTCTTTTTCTATATTTTATATACACATATAGTTACAGAGAATGTTTCTAGAAGTTCTGCAGCCTGTGGAAGTCTTTGAAACATGGTGTCATGCACAGTGGTGTTTTACACTCCTCACAC